CTTTTCTTTCATTTTGTAAATATGTATTAATTTTAATGCTGTATCAATAATACCTTTAAGTATGGGATCAAGAAGAATAGACTAAATTGAATTGGGTGCTAAAATTGGAGACTTCCATTTGAGCTAGTCATGGTTCTCTGTGCCCTCCTTTAGAGAAGATAGAAAATGACTTGGCATACACTTAAGAATATAGGGGAAAGATTTACCTGCCTGGGTTACTCATACCTATGTTCTGTTATACACCCATGCAAACATCTATATATACCCTGAGAATATATTGGGTTATGCAACTCCAGAAAAGCACAAAATCCAGCAAGTTTCTAGAAAGCTAATGAACAAAGTGTTTGGAAACCACCTCAGAAAAACCTCTGTTGTTGTTGTTAAGGGTGTATGAGTAATTTATACAAAATTTTAACAGATAAGTGTGGAAACACATGCATGTCCTTTTCTGTTGATGTTGAAGGCTTTCTTGTAATCTGTTTTTGCTGCTTACTAATATCTCATCACAGCCTGAGGACTCTTCAGAAGGCCAAAAAAAAAAAAAAAAAAAAAAGAACACTCTCCAAGTAGATAGAACTGTCCTAACTGACCATTCCTGGAAATGAGGAGTACAAATGTGGGAAAGCAAAAAATCATCAGCTACTAGAACACAGAGGTGGGTTGTCCACAGTCCAAGATGCTTAGGTGAAAAAACTCCAATTTGGAAAGGAGAGCATGCTGAACAGTTCAATGCTTTTCACATCCCCAGGGCAGGAGTGAGAGAGGATGGAGGCTGGAAGAAGCCAAGCAAAATCATAGTTCCTTTTGCAGGGTAGACTTAAATCTTTGAAATAGTGTTGTAAATGTAAGCACTTTAACTACAACTTCTGAAATTATTTATTAATGTGCAGAAGTCTGAAGCTTGACTTAATGAAAAAAATTTCCAGTAAGTTCCTAAGCTGTCAGAGGTTAATCTTCAGAAATTTCTTCTTAGATACTCCCAACTTAAAACCTGAGGTAAAAAACAGCATTTCATGTTTGAGCAACACAGAAGGTGAAGGTGTATGCCCTGGTCCTCTCTCCCTCATCCTTCCACTTCACTCTGGCCTTCTATACTGAAGAACAGGTATAACCTGAGTTTCAAACCCAGTTCTTGCAGTCTCCAGAATCCAGCTGATCCCATGGGGTGATGCCGCAGAGGCAAGATATCACTTGTAAGAGTGTCAAGAAGTTAGCTGGGTGCTGAGGATAGGACAAGGCAGTGGAAATTAACAAATCTTCTAAGTCAAGTTAACATGTCTTGCTTTGCCAAGAATCACTGGCATGTGCTATCTGACCAGAGATAAAAGATATCTTTGCCTTTGTGACCAGATTTCTAGAAATGATAGAGTCAGTTTATTTCTGTTAGGATAGCCAAGAATAGCCAAAAAACAGTTAAATTTTTTTTTTTGCATTGTGTTCTGCTTAGTCTAGATAAAGCTGTTAGGTAAAGGTCTGATGACCAGTGTCAGTTTCTGATAAGGCACCAGATAGGGACTTGGGCTTGGTAACTAACTGTCCAGGGCTGGGTAGACAACTTAAGGCAGGGAGACAATAATATCTCTGAGTTTCTCTGGGCACCCAGGCTAGCGAGTACCTCTGCCATTCTCAGCATAAAGCTCCCATCTCTGACTTCATGGAGATTCTCTTGTTGTCCCATTTCCCATTTAATGAGAAGAGAGAAATAACAGAGCTTTTCTTCAAGTACTCAATTTCCCAAAATACAAGGTGTATCTTTTGTCCAAGTTTCCACTCTTGAGGTAGCCAAGGAAATTTGTCTTCCATTGGCCACTAGTAGGGAGCTACCAACTTGATTTTCAAAAATGAGTCCTAATTATTGGGAGTTTGTGACATTTTGTAGAAGACAATTTCGAACAGCAATCATGGGAAAGATATTTGCTCTATGGACTGGCCTAGACCAATCTGGTAATATATTGGAGGTAACAGAGGAAGCCCCAAGGGTGGAACTGGGGTGAACTATTTCTATTCTAATCATTTGTATAACCTCCATACTTCCTCTCTGGCACAGATAGACTTTATGTATATTGAAATAAAAAAGCACCTTTATAAATGCCATATTTTGGGGGTCCACAAAATACTCAAGACCCCACTGTGTGTTCCACATTCCCTATGGAACAGATGTATGAATATCAGGAAGAAAAAAGGTGGAAATAAATAGTAGACATAAGTCTGATATGAACCTGAAATTTAGATACATGGGAGAGCACAATGAAGGGAGAGACCTGTGTGTAGAGGATGAAGGAGAAATTCACACCGGAGCTTTTTTGGGAATGTGTCTGAGTCTTTGTGCTGGAGAGTCACCACATAAAACTGGGTTCCCATGTAATGAAGGACAAAATGGTCTCAAAGGGAGCTTAGAGACCACCTAGTCCAAATGCCCCTTGTTACAAAGAAGAAATGGAATCTCAGAGACTGGCAAGAACTTGCCCCAGTCACACAGCTGGTTAACAACAGCTAGAACTTCCAGGTTTATGCTCTGTCCATAGCCCTTGCAAGCTGGGAGTAAGGATGAAAATGGAGGTAAAAGTGAATTGGAGGTAAAGTGAAAAAGTGAAAATAGAGGTAAAAGTCACTCAGAGACTCAGAAAATCCCTCAGAAGATATATCTGAAGCTTATAAAGCCTCAACTTTCTATTCATGTTCAGTCTCTCTCAATTCTTAACTCTGGGTCACTTGGCCTCAGACCAAATAAAGGAGGAAGTAACTTGTTCTTTAGCCTGATGCATAGCTGTGTGTTAAACACTATGAGACAAGATGTTGTTAATGAATGTTCTGTAAGACTGTGGTCTCAAGGCTATAACTTCTAACAGACCTCCTGTCTTTCCTTAAAGGTAGGGAAGTGTCCAGGAACAACACCAAGGAGCTTCTTGTAGGGACTTTTCCTGGCCTATGGTTGCAGGAAAAATCTCTTCTCCACTCACCAGGCTTCTTTACACAAAACCAAGTGCCAAGGCCATTTCCTGAGAATCTGGTCATTTCCTATCTCTCTGAAATTGATTTTTAAAAAAAGAGGCAGTGCTAAGGAGGTTCATACCAGTGTTGGGGATCAGGGTGGGCTGCCCCTAAATGTGCCACAATGACATATTGATTATTTTGAATTAAAGTTACTTAAGAATCAGGGATGGATGGATTGGGAGTTTGGGATTAGCAGTTGCAAACTATTATATATAGAATGGATAAACAACAAGGTCTTGCTGTATAGCACAGGGAACTATATTCAATATCCTGTGATAAACCATAATGGAAAAGAATATGAAAAAGGATATATCTTCATTTTTTTTCATATTTTTTTTTTTTTTTTTGCAGTACGCGGGCCTCTCACTGTTGTGGCCTCTCCCACTGCGGAGCACAGGCTCCGGACGTGCAGGCTCAGCGGCCATGGCTCACGGGCCCAGCCGCTCCGCGGCATGTGGGATCTTCCCGGGCCGGGGCATGAACCCGTGTCCCCTGCATCGGCAGGCAGACTCTCAACCACTGCGCCGCCAGGGAAGCCCTCCATATATATTTCTGTCTTCCTGAAAGTAGGAATAAATAAATAAATAAATCTCACACATGAGAGGTATACTCCTTGCATCTGGAGGTAGAAGGACACCCTTACTGCCAGAAAGAGGGAATTCGGGGCTTAGGAGCCTATATAAACAAACTTGTTACTTATTTTATTTACCACCTCAGGCCCAAACTCTCTTTAGATTCTTCACGAATTGAGCACACCAATCCTAAGCTTCTTTGTCCTGTCAATTCCTCTCAAATGTATCATTTCTTTGTCTAAAAAGTATAAAAGCTGCCTGCTTTGACCACATTTTAGGTCCCATTTCTATGAGACCTCTGTGCACATGAATTAAAAAGTATTTCTTTTTCACTTGCTTATTTGTCTGTGTAAATTTTATTATTAGTTCAGCCACAAAAACTCAAGACAGGTCAAGGGGAAAATCTCCCCCACCTCAACACCAAATACCTATATATATATTTAAAAGCTTTAATAATTATTCTCTGCTTTATGGCCCCAAACATCCTTCAGAGAAAATGGGCCATGTCAGTCTCATGGATATTTACAAATTTTCCCCCAGTTCACTTCATCCTTATGTTACGTTATTAATTGTTCAAAAACACAGGTAAACTAAAGGTGCTCTGATCCTCCGTTGCCTGTTGTGAACTCTTGGTCAGCACTGATAGTATGTTGCCTCTCCTCCCTAATGCTTTCCCCAGGCCCCCACTATAACTGTCTCCATAAGCAGAGGTGGGGTGTGGGTGGGGGAGCAAAGACTGTGTCTTTGTCTGAGATCTTATTCAGTCCTGGACTGTTTTCAGAGTGAGAGTTATGATTATTATTTGCTAGAATTTCACTAAGATGCTTAATTCAGGTGCTGTAAGAGGGTATATAAGATTTAAATTGGGGAGATATTAGAGGAGTGAAACAATCACATGGAAATCTTAGACTAAGCCTCATCCCCAGAGACCTATGGCTCAAGGCTGCCCCAGGTTCTGCCAAGAACTAGAAGTCCATATGATAGTAAGTTGAAGAGAGAGCATAAAAATGATCAACTTCATCAGCATTCTACCATGTCTTCTCATTCCTAGCTCAGACTTACAATGGAGATAACATTAGAAGAGAGAACATTTCTAATCTAGACCTTCATGGTTCTTGCCTCTAGAAGCAGAAAAGAAATTAGCAAGGCTCAAATACTTAGGAACGTCATGTTATGTGGTTTCATACTTCTTTTATTCAAGTTGTACGTCTCTTTTAATACTAATAAATGAATCCATTCATTCTTTTACTTATTTAAATAATGTTTATTGAGCACTTACTATTACATGCTACTTGACCAGTTTTGATTGGTTTAATGAAGCAGTTCTGTAAAGGCTTGAGCACTCGGTACCTTGTGAGCTGTGTTTAACCATTAAGAAGCATTTGCTAATGTCAGAAAGAAATTGCTATTGCAGATATTTCTTGAGCAGTAACATCAGTTCTTTGGGGGTTCTGGTCTGGGCTGTGGGTCCATAAATTTGTTGCCTTTCCTGGTTCTCTTAATCTTCAAGAGAAATGTGAACTGCCGCTGGGTCGAGATAAACAACGCTGTGTCCACAACAAACAGAATCTTCACCAACAATGGGATAAGAAATTGTAGCCAGAAATATTTGCTTTGGGAAGCTGGCATGGAATGTAGACGCAACAAGAAACATAACTCATATTAGAAACTGAAAAATGAGTTTAAGTGTGTCATTCTCCCTCAGAGAAGGACCCAACATGGTCTTTCATTTTCTAGCATGATATGCCATCCAGGAGCAGAGAGAAAACACTCATGAGTTTGGGTTCCTCAGTCTGTGCTCCCTGGAGCCCTAGGGAGTCCTGAGTGTTTCCCCCACAGCCCCTGTCTAATGGTTTGTCTAGCCATTATGCCCAAGGGGAAAGGTCATAGGAAAGATGGCCACTTCCTTGGAGCCGACAAGACCAACATCCACATATGATTCAGAGGTGGAAAGGAGACAGAATGAGGGCAGGGGGTCACCAGTGCCTTATTTCTCAATCAATCAATCAATCAGTCATCATTTATTGCATGTTTGTTGGGTGAAATGAAGACATTAGACTAGATCATATTTAAGTTGCTTTCTAATTCCACTGTTTTGTGATTCCATTACTCCATTTGCAAAGTACTGATTTTTTTGTGATTGCTCTAGAATTATAAAACCCTAGAATATTACAGCCAGAAATTACTTACAGATCACTTAGACTGATGGCTCTCAACCCTGGCTGCATATTACCATTACCTGAAAGATATTTTAAATACTGATGCCCAGGCCTCATTCCAAACCAATTAAATCAGAATCTCAAGGGATGATATACAGACATCAATTTTTTTTAAATTTCCCAAGTGATTCTAGTGGAGTCTAGTCCAAATCCTTTATTTTACAGATAAGGGTACTAGAAGCCCAGCAACAATAAAATAACAGGTCTCAAATTAGTTAACAGAGAGCAACCATTAAAGCTTAATTCTGGCTTCTGGTCTCATGCTTTTAAAGATATTAGCATGAGCAAAGTCCAACAAGCAAAAGCCTGATTTCTTCACTGCAAGGCAAATATCTCAAAGGCTCACTTTTTTATATGAAGTTTGGAAAGAGCAGCCTTTTTCATTGGCTAGAGAGGTAGACTACCTGCCTATTCTTTCCTCATCAAGCCCTCTCTCTCATCTCCTAATTCACAGGTACACAGCCTATTGACTTGTTGGTTTCCTTTCCCATCCCTCCTAGGCTAGAATAGACTCTTCAAGCTCTTTATAGCTTTTGTTCCTTCAACTTTGAAACTCTCTTTCAATTTGATAAATACAAGTTTCTCCCCAGGAGCAACAGATGACTTTGCTTGGCTAGTATTTAACAATCCATTTCACAAATATTACATTTAATATTTATAAAAATTCCATGTGAGCAGGTATCACTGTTGCCATTGAACAAGTAAGGAATCTAAGACAGACTGAGGGATACACTCTACCCCTGGTCCCCTCATTGCAAGTCTAATAGACTTTCCAAGGAATCACAGCTGCCCCCATTCTACAGCTGCCCCCATTCTACAGCTGCTATCACTTTAGGCTCAAATGCTCTTTCTCCTTTCCCCTTTTCCTTCACCAACTTACCTTCTTTTATTTTAATGCTGAGGTGATTAGAAGTATAGAGTATCTGCTGAATTATGCCCATGCAGTAATAGGTGCCACTGTCCCCTGTTGTGGCGTTGGTAATGGAGATGTTGTGGTTCTCATACCAGTACTTAAGGGCTTTGTTATTCTTGAAGTAAGTCACCTTGTAGACATTCAGATTCCTCCAGCCGTGGCACCTGAGGAAGAGGGGCTCGCCCTCCAACACTATCTCAGCAGAGGCCTGAAGGAGCAGCCAGTCTGAAGAGCATTTTTTATATGTCATTTATTCAACAATTATAGATAAAATTAATAATAAATAAAAATAAAATAAAATAAAAGTAGATAAAAGAGATCATGCAGAGAGTGTGTGTCAGAAACCTTTATCATTAACCCATTTCTTGGCTCATAAGGTCAATAAAAAGGAAACACAAAATAATGCTTATAGCCTGTCTCCTCTATTGATAAATCCTCTCTCCGGAAAAGTAATTCTGGGACCACAACATCACTGACCTTTCTAATGAGCCCACACATAGAAGGTCTGAAACCCATTATCACACTCAGCTCCATTGTTGCATTTAGTCACTAAGGGGGAAATAAACCCACTATGCCTGGGGAGTCTTAGCCTAGGAGAGTGTCTGTTTTGTCCTCTCTAACCTTATAGGTGCTTCCCAGTTCTATTAGTCACAGTTAGCCCCTGACTTCTTCAGAACATGTATCACACTTTTAATTAGTTATTTGTGTAATTACTGATTGGATGTCCTTTTCCTCATTGGGCTCTATACTTCAGAGGTCTGGGGCATGCCTGTTCTTTACATTGTATTTCCAGTGCCTAACACAATACCTAGGGGTTGGTAGGTTTTCAACAAACATTTGTCAATAATGAGTCAGTAAAATATAAGTGTCAGGTTGCATGGCTAATTCATTTTAAGAATTGAAAAGCATTCACCAAAGGAAACTTTTCAATGGAAATGTGGCTAGGTTGCACAAGCATATTTTATTTAGGAGCGATCCTTGAGGACTTTTCTAGAATCTACTCCAAAGAAATAAAGAAGATGTTTTATACTGCTTTAGTTTCTATTTGGAATTTGTACACAGCTGTTGAAACATCTCTTTTTACTTGAGAAAAATACAAATTATGTTTATGCTTTAAAATATTTTTTTTAATTTAAAAATATAAAGCAAAATATAACAATGAGCTAGCCATGCAAATGAAATCATTGCTTTGTTCATTAAACATTTACGGACTAACCCACATGTGCCTGAGCATGCTGCACTAATTGTTGACAGTAGGAGAGTGATAAAGATGAAGGAAACATAAGATTTGTTCTTAAGTAAAAGCAGAGGACATGAGGACTGTACAGAGAGGTCTTTCAAACTGAAGAGTGCAACTTAATATTCAGGTTGTGATACATGAAAATCACAGAGCAAATCTTTAAATCAATCTTTTGATCCTATTTAACATATACAGCTCTTTGCAATGTTCACATATCCAACATGTCATTTGACCATAAAACATGCATCTGCACCTAGGTAGGAAAGATAGTCAGAAGTGAAATAGAGTAGAGGAGTAACACTAGGAGATTGCCAGAATCTTGAAAGAAGGCAGAATGGCTGACAGAAGGAGTAGAGGTAGAAGAGAGATGGACAGGTCTGGTGAGAGACCCTGAGTCCCACATTGGTGCCCTAAACCTTGGAATTACTTGCTTTCTCCCCATCTTCAGATGGGCCATTCCTCCCATGAGAGAACTGATATTTCCATAACCCTGGAACTTACCACTGATGACATCTAGGTACACAGGTTCACTAATGAAAATTCCTTTGCTTTGGCATATATATTCCCCACTGTCCTGGATGCTTGCATTCGTGATGTCCCAACGTGAAGTTTTTGCTTTGAAAGAGTTTTTGTTGTGGATCCACAAAGTGGAGTTATCTTCACGGGAATTGTTCCCTCTACATGTAAGAGTCACATTCTCTCCTCTGAATATTCTGTTCCATGGGGGATTCAAGGATATCTTAGATTTCCAGATGGCTTTCAGAAGAGCAGATTGTGGAAAGGGATATAGAAGGGGGGAAAATATCATTGAAAACTGTACAGACACCAAAGTACAGACATACCAATAGTCAGACAATCAATGGTCAGTCTACCCTTACTTATACCGTTGGTGATAAGAAACAGTCCTGATTCCTAGGAGTAAAGGAAGGAGAAAAGGGTGTTGTGGCTCCACAGAGCTACCAACCTAGGGAGAAACATAAGACACAAATGCAGGATATTCAAAAACAAACAAGCAAATTTACTATGTGATGTAGGATAACTCCCTCTAATTCTCTAAATTTCAGTTCCAATATCTGTAAATGAAGTCTCTTCAGGCAGAAATTATGTCTGTGATGTTCAACCATAACTCAGCACAGTGACTATTACACAGTAAGTGTTCATTAAATATTTATTGAGTTGATGAATGAGTGAATAATGGATGAATTAAAGTATTGGACTAGATGAAATACATGATCTCTCCCAGCTCTAAATTTTTATGACTATTTAATTGTGAGTGAATATGGAATTAAAAATATATGTCAATTCTGGATGGTAGTGAGAAGCACCAAGAGGATCAGTCTTAAAAGGCTTTCAGGGACAAAGAGATATGGTACAAATTTGAACAGAAACTTTGGAAGCAGCCAGGTGGTGATGAGGAAGAGATGACGCTGCTGAAAGACTTGGATTCAAGGGACTTATTACAATCCAGTCCTTTGTTAGCTGTGTAACCTCCAGAAAATGACTTAATCTGAGTTTCAGCATCCTCAATTATAACATGGCAATAATAACAGTGATGATGGTGTAAGAATTGAATGAGGACTACAGGCTCTTTCGTGGGGTTAATGGTGGACACTGGGAGGGCTCATGCCAAGGAGTGCATCCCAGAACTTCTGCTGCCAGTGTCCTTGTCCCTGTGGTGAGCCACAGCCACTATCCACCCCGCCTCGAGCCCCCTGCAGGAGACCCTCCAACACAAGCAGAGCAGAAGCAAGAAAAACAACAATCCTGCAGCCTGTGGAACAGAAACCTCATTTACAGAAAGATAGACAAAATGAAAAGGCAGAGGGCTATTTACCAGATGAAGGAACAAGATAAAACCCCAGAAAAACAACTAAATGAAGTGGAGATAGGCAACCTTCCAGAAAAATAATTCAGAATAATGATGGTGAAGATGATCCAGGACCTGAGAAAAAGAATGGAGGCAAAGATCGAGAACATACAAGAAATGTTTAACAAAGACCTAGAACAATTAAAGAACAACCAAACAGAGATCAACAATATAATAACTGAAATGAAAAATACACTAGAAGGAATCAATAGCAGAATAACTAAGGCAGAAGAATGGATAAGTGAACTGAAGACAGAATGGTGGAATTCACTGCTGTGGAACAGAATAAAGAAAAAAGAATGAAAATAAATGAAGACAGCCTAAGAGACTTCTGGGACAACATTAAATGCACCAGCATCCTCATTATAGGGGTCCCAGAAGGAGAATAGGGAGAAAAAGGACCCGAGAAAATATTTGAAGAGATTATAGTTGAAAACTTCTCTAACATGGGAAAGGAAATAGCCACCCAAGTCCAGGAAGCACAGAGAGTTCCAGGCAGGGTGAAATCAAGGAGAAACACACCAAGACATATAGTAATCAAATTGACAAAAATTAAAGAAGAAGAAAAATTATTAAAAGCAACAAGGGAAAAATGACAAATAACATACAAGGGAACTCCCATAAGGTTAACAGCTGACTTCTCAACAGAATCTTTACAAGCCAGAAGTGAGTGCCATAATATATTTAAAGTGATGAAAGAGAAGAATATTTAACCAAGATTACTCTACCCCACAAGGATCTCATTCAGAACCGATGAAGAAATCAAAAGTTTTACAGACAAGCAAAAACTAAGAGAATTCATCATCACCAAACCAGCTCTAAAACAAATGCTAAAGGAAATTCTCTAAGTGGGAAACACAAGAGAAGAAAAGGACCTACAAAAACAAACCCAAAACAAATAAGAACATGGTCATAGGAACATACATATCGATAATTACCTTAAACGTGAATGGATTAAATGCTCCAACCAAAAGACACAGGCTTGCTAAATGGATACAAAAATGAGACCCATATATATGCTGTCTACAGGAGACCCGGTTCAGACCTAGGGACACATACAGACTGAAAGTGCGGAGGTGGAAAAAGATACTCCAAGCAAATGGAAGTCATAAGAAAGCTGGAGTAGCAATACTTATATCAGATAAAATAGACTTTAAAATAAAGAATATTACAAGAGACAAAGAAGGACACTACATAATGATCAAGGGATCAATCCAAGAAGAAGATATAACAATTATATATGCACACAACATAGGAGCACCTCAATAAATAAGACAAATGCTAACAGCTATAAAAGAGGAAATCAACAGTAACACAAAAATAGTGGAGGACTTTAACACCTCACACCAATGAACAGATTATCCGAACAGAAAATTAATAAGGAAACACAATAAAATGACACAATAGGAAACACAATTAAAATGACACAATAGGCCAGATAGATTTAATTGACATTTATAGGACACTCCATCCTAAAAGAGCAGATTACATTTTCTTCTCAAGTGCACACAGCACATTCTCCAGGATAGATCACCTCTTGGGTCACAATCAAGCCTTGGTAAACTTAAGAAAATTGAAATCATATCAAACATCTTTTCCAACCACAATGCTATGAGATTAGAAATGAATTACAGGGGAAGAAATGTAAAAAACACAAACACATGGAGGCTAAACAATACGTTACTAAATAACCAAGAGATCACTGAATAAATCAAAGAGGAAATCAAAAAATACCTAGAGAGAAATGACAATGAAAGCATGACGATCCAAAACCTATGGGATGCAGCAAAGCAGTTCTAAGAGGGAAGTTTATAGCAATACAATCCTACCTCAAGAAACAAGAAAAATCTCAAATGAACAATCTAACCTTACACCTAAAGGATCTAAGGAAAGAAAAAACAAAACCCCAAAGTTAGCAGAAGGAAAGAAATCATAAAGTCAGAGCAGAAGTAAATGGAATGGAAAGAAAACAATAGCAAAAATCAATAAAACTAAAAGCTGATTCTTTGGGAAGACAAACAAAATTGATAAACCTTTAGCCAGACTCATCAAGTAAAAGAGGGAGAGGACTCAAATCAATAAAATTAGAAATGAAAAGAAGTTACAACAGACACTGCAGAAATACAAAGCATCATAAGATACTACTACAAGCAACTCTATGCCAAAAAAATGGACAACCTAGAAGAAATGGACAAGTTCTTAGAAAGGTAAAACCTTCCAAGATGGAACCAGGAAGAAATAGAAAATATGAACAGACCAATCACAAGTAATGAAATTGAAACTGTGATTTAAAATTTTCCAACAAACAAAAGTTCAGGACCACATGGATTCACAGGTGAATTCGATCAAACATTTAGAGAAGAGCTAAAACCCAACCTCCTCAAACTCTTCCAAAAAATTGCAGAGGAAGGAACACTCCCAAACTCATTCAACGAGGCCACCATCACCCTGATACCAAAACCAGACAAAGATACTACAAAAAAAGAAAATTACAGACTAATATCACTGATGAATATAGATGTAAAAATCCTCAACAAAATACTAGCAAACAAAATCCAACAACACATTAAAAAAGATCATATACCATGATCAACTGGGACTTATCACAGGGATGCAAGGATTCTAAAGTATATGTAAATAAATCAATGTTATACACCATATTAACAAATTGAATAATAAAAAACATATGATCACCTCAATAGATGCAGAAAAAGCTTTTGACATAATTCAACACTGATTTATGATAAAAACTCTCCAGAAAGTGGGCATAGGGGGAACCAACCTCAACATTATAAAGGCCATATACAAAAAACCCACAGCAAACATCATTCTCAATGTTGAAAAAAGTGACAACATTTCCTCTAAGATCAGGAATGAGACAAGGATATCCACTCTCGCCACTCTTATTCAACATAGTTTTGGAAGTCCTAGCCATGGCAATCAGAGAAGAAGAAGTAAAAGGAATCCAAATTGGAAAAGAAGTAAAACTGTCATTATTTGTGGATAACACGATACTATACATAGATAACTCTAAAGATACCACCAGAAAATAACTAGAGCTAATCAATGAATTTGGTAAAGTTGCAGGATACAAAATTAATGAGCAGAAGTCTTTTGCAGTCCTATCCACTAACAATGAAAGATCAGAAAGAGAAATTAAGGAAACAATCCCATTCACCATTGCAACAAAAATAATAAAATACCTAGGAATAAACCTTCCTAAGGAGACAAATGACCTGTATGCATAAAACTATAAGACACTGATGAAAGAAATCATAGATGATACAAACAGATGGAGAGATATACTATGTTTTTGGATTGGAAGAATAAATATTGTGAAAATGACTATACTACCCAAAGCAATCTACAGATCCAATGCAATCCCTATCAAGTTACCAATGGCATTTTTTACAGAACTAAAACAAAAAATCTTGAAATTTGTATGGAGACACAAAAGACCCTGAATAGCCAAAGCAATTTTGAGAAATAAAAACGGAGCTGGAGGAATCAGACTCTCTGACTTCAGACAATACTACAAAGCTACAGTAATCAAGACAATATGGTACTGGCACAAAACAGAAATATAGATCAATGGAACAGGATATAAAGCCCTGAGACAAACCCACATACCTATGGTCAACTAATCTATGACAAAGGAGGCAAGGATATACAATGGTGAAAAGACAGTCTCCTCAATACGTGGTGCTGGGAGAACTGGACAGCTACATGTAAAAGAATGAAATTAGAACACTCCCTAACACCATACAGAAAAATAAATTCAAAATGGATTAAAGACCTACATGTAAGACCAGACACTATAAAACTCTTAGAGGAAAACATAGGAAGGACACTCTTCGACATAAATCATAGCAAGATATTTTTTGATCCACATCCTAGAGTAATGGAAATAAAAGCAAACATGAATAAATGAGACCTAATTAAACTTAAAAGCTTTTGCACAGCAAAGGAAACTATAAACAAGACAAAAAGACAACCCTCAGAATGGGAGAAAATATTTGCAAATGAATCAACAGACAAAAGATGAATCTCCAAAATATACAAACAGCTCATGCAGCTCAATAATAAAAAAAAAAAAACAATCAAAAAATGGGCAGAAGACCTAAATAGACATTTCTCCAAAGAAGACATATAGATGGCCAAGAGGCACATGAAAAGCTGCTCAACATCACTAATTATTAGAGAAATGCAAATCAAAACTACAGTGAGGTATCAACTCATACCAGTTAGAATGAGCATCATCAGAAAATCTACAAACAACAAATGCTGGAGAGGGTGTGGAGAAAAGGGAACCCTCTTGCACTCTTGGTGGGAATGTAAATTGATACAGCCACTAAGGGGAACAGTATGGAGGTTCCCTAATAAACTAAAAATAGAATTACCATATGATCCAGCAATCCCACTACTGGGCATATACCCAGAGAAAACCATAATTCAAAAAGACACATGCGCCCCAGTGTTCATTGCAGCACTATTTACAATAGCCAGGTCATGGAAGCAACCTAAATGCCCATCGACAGACGAATGGATCAAGAAGATGTGGTACATATATACAATGGAATATTACTCAGCCATAAAAAGGAGCAAAGGTGGGCCATTTGTAGAGATGTGGATGGATCTAGAGACTGTCAGAAAGAATGAAGTAAGTCAGAAAGAGAAAAACAAATATCGTATATTAATGCATATATATGGAATCTAGAAAAATGGTACAGATGAACTGGTTTGCAAGGCAGAAAGAGACACAGATGTAGAGAACAAACGTATGGACACAAAGGGGGGAAAGCAGGGATCGGGTGTTGTAAGATGAATTGAGAGATTGGAATTGACATATATAAACTTATATGTATAAAATAACTAATAAGAAACTGCTGTATAAAAAAATTTTTAAAAAAGAACGAGTTTACGTGATAGTGGCTGGAGGAGTGGCTGAGACACTTAGATGCTCAACAGACGTGATTGTTGGCATTAAAGAGGAAAGGATGACTTGAGAGAATGAAGTGGCATGTGGGAAACTTTTGAATGGGGGGATAAAGGAAGATTATGCAAGGTGGAAGTGGGTTGGACAGGGAAGAACAGATTAATAATCATTAGAAAATAGATGATGGGATGAAGTGAAAGAGTGAAGGGAGGGCAAGTCCCAGACACATTGAAATGCTGAGGGAACAAGGACAGCGGACTCACCTGCTGATATGCCATCTGGAGCTGCAAAAAGTCCAGAGAGGATACGTTAGTGTCTATCCCCAGCCTTCTGGACACCTAAAGACTGGGATCTGGAAATGGTGATGAGGTTTACATCCACAAAGTTTTAAGGGCCAACGATCTTTCCAGGAATCTGACTCAAGGAAGGAAGGAGCTTCTGTCTTTCCTCCCTTGCCCTCTGGAAGATGCTAGCATGATAGCAAGGACCAGACTTTCAGTCCAGCTTCCCCCTTAGATGGTGTTCAGCCCCACTTCCTCTGCTTTCCAGCTTTCCTTCCCTACAGAATCCCTGGGAAATTCCCCACGGTTTGCACATAGCCTAGGAAAAGTCACCAGTAAAATGATCAACTTTCCCACTCCAGCTGCTCCCCCAACCCATTCTGGCCCCTTCAGGGGCCAGTAACTGATCTCTACTTACAGAAGAGCAGCAGAGCTATCCACAGCAGGGCAGGGGTTCCCATGGCAGTAGGCATTTCCTCTGTGGCTGCCAGGTGCCAACTGGCCTGGAGAGACCTAGGGCCTTAGAGTAAGCTTGAAACTAAAAAGGAGAAGGAAATGTTCTCTGTTTCATATCTCATTGACTCATCAGCTGCACCTAGGTTTGCTTCCTTCTCTGGAGATAATATTCAGGGTGGTGCCTAATAGGACAATTTTGTATTTACCCCCATACTGCACTCTCCATCCCACCTCTGTGTACACATCTGGAATCTAGTGGTAAAGAGGCATAGAACTAGGCACACAGGCACAGAGCTTTCTTAAACTGTCTGTCAATGTACAGCTATGTCATTTGCAACTTAGAAAAGTGGGGTGCCAGGGAGAGCAGAATAAAACAACAACAGTTAATTATTCAGCACCTAATATATGCCAGGCACTATGATAAATACATCTGGTATTTCATTCATTTCTCACAGTAACCCTATGAAGGAGGTACCATTGTTATTGACATTTTATAGATAAGAAAATTGGAACTTAGAGAGGTGAAGTAGCTTGTCTTAGGGTATTCCCTAGTAAATGGCTAATTTGGGACTCAAAATATCTTAAAAATCTAATCCCAGAGTAAAACTCTTAATCATGATGATATATTGTTTATGCATGTCTACAAGTATGGCCAGCAATTGCTGAAATTCTGTTGTGGTTCTGCAGAGCTACCAATCCTCTTATTACCTAATTTCCTGCTG